CTGCAGGGGCCGCGGCCTGCGCGGCCCCGCAGCCCTTGGCGGTGGCCCCAGACCCGGACCCCCAGGCCCACAGTCTTCCCAGGCCTGCACGCCCCCTCCTGTTTGTTATAGGCCCGGCTCCCACCTCTGCTCTGCTGGCAACCCTCCCTTCTGCGTCTCAGACCGCGCCGGTCTCCCAGCTGTCGGAGCCCCTCGGCTGTGCCAGGCTGCCCGGTCTGTGCCAACTTAAGGCTCCTCGTTCCTGCTAGGACCCCTGCCTGCACCCCAGCCTGTCCACGGCTATGTTCCCAAGGCCTGGGGCCACACCCCCATTGCTCACCCTGACTGCTGGGACCTGTTGCTTGGAGTTTGGCTTTCTGGGGTACTGGGGCAGGTTAACGGCGCCTTGTCCTGCTTGGACGCCCCCAGGGTCCGACCTGTCCGGTGTCGACCTTCTAGCGGTGGGAACTAAGCCTTGCATAGGACTTGCCTGTCGTCTAACAAGCTGACCCGAGAGCAGGGCCGGGCTCAGCTCCCAGGCCCTCCTAGTCGCCTTATGATACCATTCTGTAGAGGAACCAGTCAGTGAACATTGTGTCCCTCAGTTTCTCCCATTGAGTGTATGCCAGGCAGGTGTGCTGTGACCTCCTTCTCCAGCAGACTGCTTTTTTTTTTTTTTTTTTTTTTTTCTCAGCCAGGTTCGGTGCTATTCTATGCCCTCATCCTGGAAGGACAAAAATTGATTGGAAATTCATGATTAGCTAGGTTCAGTCCCTGGTACTGAGGGGAAAATCCACTTCATACAGTCCAAAATTAGGGTAAAGAGTGCATTACACATATGTGGGTACGTGTTAACACGTATGTGTGGTTTGCCTTAAAATTGTGTTTTGGATACTCCTGCAGTTTTCTTATCTATAGTAGAGGGATGGGGCCGGGATTCACGTCAAGCCTGAATCAAAGGAATCTTTAATTCTGTGAATTTACAGAAGATCGCTGTTGCATTGTTTAGTATTCTCAAAGAGAAATCCATTTCTAAAGCCAGGTGTGGTGCCACATCTGTCATTCCAATTGCTCGGGAGGCCGAAGCGGAACGACTCTAAGTTCAAAGCCAACCTGGGCTGCAGAGTGAGTTAAACGCTAGTCTGGGTGACTCAGCGAGACTCTGTCTGAAAAGATACATAAATAAATAGATAAATGGGGAGCGCCTGGCGAGGTGGCTCAGGTGTGGAAGAGCTTCCTGCACCAGCGGCAAGCGTGAGGACCGGAGTTCAGACCCCCAGAAGCCATGTGAGCACCAGGTAGCCTGGCATGGTCCCTGCACTTGGCAGGAAAAAGCAGGGGAGCCTGGTTAGCCTGTCAGGGAGCTCTGGGTTCAGATGAGGCCCTGCCTGGATGAATACGGTAGATAGACTGATGGTGAGGACTCCCAGTGTCATCCCCACTCCCAACCCCCAATTTTGGATCTTAGTACTTAAGCATCCTGATTTTCAAGACACCATCTTTTTGTGTGTGTGTGTGTGTGTGTTTTCTCTGGCTGTCTTGGAACTCACTCTGTAGCCCAGGCTGGCCTCGAACTCACAGAGATCCACCTGCCTCTGCCTCCCGAGTGCTGGGATTAAAGGCTGGTGCCACCCTGCCCCGCTTCAAACACAATCTGACCGGTGTCTATTTAAAGCTTGCGGGTTGGGGGGTTATTTTGACACAGTGTTCCTCTCCCTGCCAGTGTCTGTGTACCCACCTGCTGCTGGGAGACAAAATGACAGCAGCGTCTTTTCCTTTTTAGATATAAAGTCATGAAGAACTGGGGAGTGATAGGCGGGATCGCCGCTGCCCTTGCGGCGGGAATATACGTTATCTGGGGTCCCATTACAGAGAGGAAGAAGCGGAGAAAAGGTAGGGCTGGGCCTTGAGCCTTTTTTGTTTGAAAGCAGTAGAGGAGGCCGGGGGATTGGGTGGTTGGTCCTCTCATCTTGAAAGTGAGGGCTGTGGTCTATGAAGTGGAACATTGCAGATCCCCACTTCCCACCCTGTGGTGGGAAGGCTCTGTTTTGGCACCTTCTTGCACTTGATTTTTTTTTTTTTTTTTTTTTGAGACAAGATTTCTCTGTATAGTTTTGGAGCTTGTCCTGGATCTCGCTCTGTAGCCCAGGCTGGCCTCGAACTCAACAGAGATCCACCTGCCTCTGCCCCCTGAGTGCTGGGATTAAAGGCGTGCACCACCATTGCCCGGCCTGCACTTGGTTTGAAGACATGCTTTGTGCTCATGCCTGTAATTCCAGTACTCAGGATGCTGGAGCAATAGGATGTTGTGCCTTGAGTTCAAATCCAGCCTGTGCTCTAAAGCAAGTACCAGGCCAGGCAGGGTTACATAGGCAAGACCTGGGGGGGGGGGCGGGGAGGAACATGCTTTGTAATTATGTTTCAAGTGGCTCAATTGTCTGAGGTTCTCATTAATGTGTAATTGTATTTTCAGTCCTGCAGCTGACCATTACATCACAGGAGTGTTTTTTCTGAGAGAGGAGAGCAGGAGAGAAGGGGGAGAGAAGAGGGAGGGGGAAACAAAGTCTGTTACAATCTGACCCTTGTTAAACAAGGGGTCGGTTGTAGAGAAGTTCGTTATATGTTTTCACGGGTGTCTGAGAAGTTTCATAGCCAGCAAGGCTTGATAGCACACAGTCAGCACCCAGGAGGCCGAGGCAGAAGGCTCCGAGGCTAAGGCCAGCCTGGCCTCTATGTGCTGAGTTCTTGAGTTTTGGCGAAGAGGAAAAGAGGGCATCCCATCAGCTGGGGCCGCTGTCTTTACAGACAGACCGACCAGAATCAGTGTCTTCCTGGTCCCTGGCGAGAACAAAGCATTGTCCCGGGAGGCAGTTCAGTTGAGGCTGCTGTGAGGACACTGTTCTCTCACAAAAGGGGAGTGTGAGGGGGAGGAGGAGGGAGGAGGGGGAGGAGGAGGGCGTGGCTGCTGCTTTTGTCCACTTACTGTCTGTGCCAGGCACCTGGAAGGCTTTCAGAGAGGACACAGCACAGAGGCTCTTCTGTGGTTCACAGTTTGCAGCATAGAATGCCCGGTACCCAGGCTTGGCTCAGGTCGGATCTCAGTTGAGGGCCCTGCAGATGCAGGGTCCCAGATGGGAGAGAGACGGTCGGCCCGATGTGACGCACTGTCCTCCTCTTACCCCCCTCTCCGTTAGGGCTCGTGCCTGGGCTCGTCAACTTAGGGAACACCTGCTTCATGAACTCGCTGCTGCAGGGCTTGTCTGCCTGCCCCGCCTTCGTCAAGTGGCTGGAGGAGTTCACCACCCAGTACTCCAGGGACCAGCAGGGGCCCCACCCACACCAGTGCCTCTCCTTGACGCTGCTGAACCTCCTGAAAGGTAGAGTGGGACTTGAGGGGTGTGCATCTTCAGTGGCTAGATGGCAGAGGAGGGCTTAGGAGCCACTTTGTAGAGAAAGATGTGGCGGAGGGGGTGGGGGTAGCACTCAGAACCTAAGAGGTTTTGATGAAATCGGATTAAAATTTACTTTCGAATTAATTTTTATAAAGATCAATTAGATTCAAATTCAATCAGTCAGAATTGTTAAGAAGTTGTATTTAGTGTGTGTGTGCGTGTGTGATGCAGCTCACATAGGACGGTCAGTGTGTGTGTGTGTGTGTGTGTGTGTGTGTGTGTGTGTGTGTGTGTGAGAGACGCAGTTCACGTAGGACGGTCAGGACAGCTCTGGTTCTTTGCTGTGTGGGGTCCTGGGGCTGACCTCAGGTGTCTTGACTTACAAAGCCTTCTCACCAATAAAATAAAAAGGAACCATCTATTTAAAAAATTGTCAGTTTAGCTGGGGGTGGCGGCGCACACCTTTAATCCCAGCACTTGGAGGGCAGAGGCAGGTGGATCTCTGTGAGTTCAAGCCCAGCCTGGTCTATAGAGGTAGTTCCAGGACTGCCGGGGCTCCACAGGGAAACCCTGTCTCGGAAAACCAAAAATAAATAAATAAATAAATCCATACCACACAAGCAGTTCAACTATAAGAAGTTTTTTAAAAAGTGAGTGTTTTGGCCCAAGAAATGAGATCATTCACGAAAGAAATACAAATAAAGGCTCTTAGGATTTGCTTCTTTTTGCCTGTTGGAAAATATTAAAAAGCAGATTGCAGATTCCAGAGCCTGGCGGCTGTTAGCCGGGGTGTGCGCACACTGCGATGGGGTGGCGTTTGGTCTGACCTTTCTCGAATGTGCTGTGGAACTGCCCTGGGAGCCCTGCACCATGGCCGGTGCCATCTGGCCTGAGCATCTCATGGCCAGAAGTCTTCCTGGTGGCTGCTGTGAGTGTCTGGGGAAAGACTCGAAGTACTTTTCATTTGTGTGTCTGTGTGGGTGCCTGGGCAGGCCAGGAGGGAGTGTCGGTCCCCTGGAGCTGGAGTTACTGCCAGTTCCGGGAACCGAACTTGAGTCCTCTGTAAGTGCAGCCAAGCTCTTGAATGTCGAGTTACCCTCCAGCCCCTAGGGATTTGAAGTCTCCTGTCCAGCTTCATTATTTCTAAATCCACATGCAGAAAGCCTTTATGTTTATTTACTTACCTGTGTGTGTGTGTTTGGGTACATACACATGGCATGGCGCGTGTGGAGGTCAGAGGACAGCATGTGGGAGTCTGTTCTCCTCCTGCCCCCTGGTTCCTGATCCAGTGCAGGGCATCAGACTTGGTGGCGAACACCCTTGTCTGCCAAACCATCTTGCCAACCCCAGATTCAGTTTTGAGCAAAGGTTTTTGTTTGTTTAAACTGTTGAACTGTCCTTGATGGCACTTGTTAAAATCTGGATATCACACTGTGCATGCACAAGGGTCTCCGGCGTGTTCGTAAGCACCCAGGGTTGTGGGTGCCGAACAGAAGGCCGAGGGGCCAGTGGCTTTAACAGAGTTTGCTCTCTTTTAACTTGGGAGAGGGGATAATGTTAAGTTAAAGGAACTGGGAAGAAAATACAGTGTGGTTTCATTTTGGCGACGTAAGAGCTGATGGCTGCTTTCTAGGAAGAAGTCTCACCTGGAGGTGATCTCGGTGCACAGTTAGGGACCGTTTTAACAAACCACGCTGCTGTGATCTCACAGTCAGAGCAAGGGCCTGGGAAGGGCCCATGGCAGAGCGCTTACTGCTCAGGCGTGCGGACCCCCACAAAAGGGTGCGTGCTGCAGTCTTAGGAATGCGAGGCAGACGGCCGAGTCCCCGAGGCCCACTGGCCAGCCACTCAGTGAGTTCCAGGTTGAGTGAGTGTGTCGGTCTCAAAAAGTATGATGGGGCGTGGAGAGGAAGAAGCTGGATGTGGACACACACACAGCTACATACATGTGTTTGAGGTGCTGTGACGGCCAACTCTGTCCTCCATGGACACACACAGCTACATACATGTGTGTGTGAGGTGCTATGACGGCCAACTCTGTCCTCCATAGATACACACAGCTACATACATGTGTGTGAGGTGCTGTGACGGCCAACTCTGTCCTCCATAGACACACACAGCTACATACATGTGTGTGTGAGGTGCTGTGACGGCCAACTCTGTCCTCCATGGACACACACAGCTACATACATGTGTGTGTGAGGTGCTGTGACAGCCAACTCTGTCCTCCATGGACACACACAGCTACATACATGCACATGGGGTGGTGTTTTTTCCGGCATTGGCGTTTCTCTGGTGGTAAGTGACCACAGCAGCTCTTCATCTGCCTGTTGGCCATTGTTTTAGGAGAAATGGCTGCTCAAGGTTCTGCCTGTGTGTGAGTTGGGTTGTTTAGGGGTTTTGTTGTTAGTTTTTAGGAGTACTTTTCTATTAGAATTTTTTTCTTTTAAAAATTGATGTGTGCATGGGGGGGGGGCACATGTATGTGGGTGTCGTGGAGGCCAGAAGAGGGCATTGGGTCCCCTGGAGCTGGACTTGGAGGTGGTGGTAGCTGCCCGGCGTGGGTGCTGGGAACTGAACTTGAGTCCTCTGGAGGGGCAGCAATACTCTGCCGCGCGGCCCCTGCGGCCCTGGCGCCTTGTGCACCCTCCTCCTCCTCAACCTTTGCCCTCCCTCGATCGGCAGCTCGGGGTGTCTGTGACCCCTGCCGTGGAGCCTCCTTCCAGGCTGCGGCGAGCGTCTCTGCACATGGCCATTGGCGCACAGGAGTGCCTCTTCAGGTAGACGGAGGAGCTGGGCTGTGGGTGGCAGGTTATGAAACTGCCGGGGACCTTGCCAGATTGCCTCACAGTGTCCAGGCGGTCGTTGACATTTTCCCAGGAGTGTGACTCCTTCTCAGCTCTGCGGCCTTTGTCCTGGAGGGTGAGGGCTGGGCCAAGGTGCTCACCTCACAGGTCGCTGCCTCCCGTGCCCTGCCCCTCAGGTTCTGGCCATGTCAGACAGCTCCGATGGGGCTGTGGGGGCAGGAAGTCAGCGGTGTTCTCACCCTGGAGTCAGAGCCCTGACTGCACACCGAGGGGTAGAAACGGCCTGTGCTGTGTCATGTGTGGATCACAGAACCTGAGACCGCAGCTCCTTCCTTTATCTCGCACTTGAGCAACATGGCCCTGCGCACTGTGCCTGGAAGCCTCTGGTCAGAATGAGAGTCAGCACTCTGTGGCCTGTGACTAGTCCAGGGCTCCCTGTCTTCTGTCATTCTGTGTGTGTGTGTGTGTGT